GATTGTAATTGTAAGAATTGACCAATCACTATCGAATACGAGAAGAATATTCGACTGTGATTGGTTAATTCTTACAACTACAACCACTTACAACTACGCTTACGCAATTATAGAATAAGCTTTAAAGTTGGAGACATTAATGGTTAAGATATCTATTATTCAATAGAGCGACTCAATATAGCGCTATGTATACGTTCTGTTTTAATTATACAAATTCACTGCTTTAAAAACAAAAATTTACTGCTTTAATAAAAACACAAATTCTCTGCTTCACGAACACAAATTTACTATTAACATGCAAAGAATTTGTGTTAAAGTGAACATAAAGCATATATATAGAGCTGTATCGAATCGGGATGATAGATGTCTTAATCTCTTGAATTAAATGGCACCTCTGTCTGTGTTGACTCTCATTGGTTTTGAATTGATTGTTTATTTTTGTATTTATGTACTTGTGACGTACGTAGTTTATTAATTCTTTTTTGCTACAAGATAACTTTGTCACTCTAATTGAGACATTTATCTTACTATACAATATTATTCCCATATCTTTGATAGCAAACTCACATCAAAATGACTTCTTTTTACGTCAAAATGATGACAAAATGTAGCTAGGGTATTACTCTCATTATAGACTCCCATTATAGATTCTTAACGTCTATTCTACAACAGCTATAAATGTATTGTAATTGCAATATAAGTGATATTGTAGTTGTAAGAATTGATCAATCACAGTGGAATATGAAGCAGAATATTCCACTGTGACTTTAATTCTTATAACTACTCTTTCACAATTGTAGTATAGCTTCAAAATTTTATAATTGCTGTTCGTCGTCTCTGATTGCGACGACAATTTGGATTACCCCGTAAATTTGGTCACGTAAGTCACGTTTTTCCCATGCAATATTTTTTCTTGGGCATAAATTGCCTATCGATAATGCACAAATCATTTGGTAATGATTGATATGCTCGTTTGACGGAAATGTAAATACTAAAAAACGATTGTATTCCCCGTCAATATTGATTTTTTGCCATGCTGAATTCTCTCAACGTTTTTTAATAAATTTCAGCCGACAAATCGTTTTCTCTCGTTGTGTGTTATTGGTAAATTTAGGTAGAATAAAATTCCGCTTCCATTATTTGTCGTTATCAATGCATGATCGACGATTTATTCTATTTATTAGTAAAGCGCATACTATATTGCACAATGAAGTGAAACGGGATGAAAATGAGGTAAAATTTGAAAAATAGCTTAATCGAGCGAGAATACGATTCAACCCTGATTATTATATTAATTATATGTTTACTATATTTATTATTTTACAAGACCAAATTATACTATAATAATTACAAAATTAAACATTTAAAATAAAAAAATATTATCCCTTATGAAAAATATTTTAAATTTGAGTGTTTATAACATCCAATTTTGGGAGATTACGTTGAAATTTGGGTGTGTACACTTAAATTTTGAGTGTTTACACAGCAGATTTACACTCAACCATTGAGTGTGCACATCCAAAGATCAAGCGTTTATATTTAAAATTGAGTATAATATACATTAAAAGATTGAGAGTATACGCCCAATAAATGAGCGTTCACACTTGAGTGTACACGCTATAAACATTAAAAATTTATTCTCAATTTAAAAAATTTACTCAAAATTAAAAAATTTACTCTCAGCACTTGTATATGGCACTCATCAAAACGGTTTAAATCTTTGAGTGTCATTTTCAAAATTAAATGTAAAAGTTAACAGTATTAAAAGTATATTAATCTTTATGATTTAACATTAACGCTAAAATTGAATATGGACATCGCAAATTTATTTATGAAAGAAATATATTTTAACTACATGTGAAACTTTTTTTGACAATATCTATTGAACAGATATGTCACTATATATCAATTAACGTTAAGAGTTCGTGGATCATCGAAATAGCAGTTCCTGTACGATTGCAGAGATTAAGCATCATTGTATAGAATACAGGATTGGATGGATGACCGCATAGAACAATAAAGAAATTAATTCCCAAATAAAGCTTTTTTTTCAATTATAATTTTCTCGTGTGTATTCAGGAATGTGATGCAGACCAATAGACCAATAATACATATTTTAGCAATAAAAATTAAGTAACTGTATAAAATAAGTAACACTCACAATTTTAAGAGTAACGCTTAAATTAATTCTCAAGTCGAGAATAAGTTCTAGTTCAGCGTCTGAAATAATACTAAATTGAGTGTAAATACTAAAATTTTGAGTTTTTTTCATAAGGGATATCTTTTGAAAATTATGGAAAGAAAATAAACATATATGTACAAGTAAATATAACATATAAAAAAAAAGAGGAAGAGAGCAGCAAATTTTATAGCACAACAATTTTACGATTTTATATACGGGGTGCATAGCCCACGTAAAGTGTTACAAGCTAATAACTCTAAAAATATTTATCGTATCAAAAAGTTGTTCGTGAGAAAATTTCATATATTCGAGGGGCCTTTCTAACTACATAAACAAAAATCCACCCCCGTCCCCTTTTGAAGAAAGGCAGGGAGTAACTTTAAAGTTTTAAATGGGACCTGTAAAATGTTACATATTTAGATTCTACGGCGAAAAACAAGTAAACTTTGTCTGAAATATTTCTTTGGAAAATGCTCCTATCAAAAGTTATAAAAATTCAAACTTTAATGTAGAGCGCATTGAAATTAATGATAAATTAAATAAGACTCATAGTTTTTCTATTTTTTTTTTATTTTATTAAATGTTCGAACTGCTGACCATTAATATCTAAACACTTATTAATTCTTTTTACAAAACTTTGCCTAACTCTAAACAACATTTCTGGGCTCATCTTAGTGCAAGTTTTATTCTCCGTTTTAAGTTCTTTCGTCGTAAATGGTGGAGATGTGACTTCTTCTTTGATACATCCCCATAAAAAATAGTCCAAAAGTGTAATATCAGATGAACGAGGGAGTCATTGAACAGGACTTCCCCGACCTATTCACCTGTCACGAAATATCTCATTTAAAAGAGTAAGCGTTGCTCTGGAAAAATGAGAAGATGCACTATCTTGTTGAAATCACATGTCTCTTCTCACATTAAGTGGTAATTCTTTATAAGTAAGGGAAGACAATTCCTTAATGGATTACAATAAGATTCAATATTAACAGTATCATCAAAAAAGTGTGGTCCAATTACGAAATCGCCAATTATTCCACAGCATACATTTAATGACCAACGATGTTGGAAATGAACCTCGCGCATCCAATGAGGATTTTCATATGATCAATAGTGCATATTATGTCTATTAAGGTGTCCAATATTGGTAAATGTTGCTTGATCAGAAAAAAGAATATTTTGTAAAAATGAATTATTCATCATAGCATCACGCATCCACTCGCAAAATATTACACGATGTTCACAATCAGTTTTCAAAAGTTCCTGAGTCAAATCAAACGATACGGATGAAATTTTTTTTTTCAAAATCCGCTGTATTGAAGATCATTCAACTCCAAACGTATTTGCTAATTCGCGTTGACTGACATGTGGATTTACTTCAACTGTTGCGAGATTGTTGACACTGTTATCATAATTAACTACTGAATTTGCTTTTTGTCTTTTAATAGCACTTAATTGACTATGTACACGCAAACGATTTTCTAAACGAAGAAATGCTATATGATTTTTGAATATTACAACGTTCTAAAAATAATTACGTTGCACGTCGATAATTTTTCTCACATTCTGCCAGAATGAACAACATATTAACTTCTAAAATGAGCCCTGATTTTTTAACTTGATAGCATGAAAATCAGCTGAAAACTAATTAAATACATAGTAGATCTGTATTTACGTTTCCCGATAAATGTGTATTTA